TGTATACTGGAGACAGACCCTGTATGCTGGAGACAGACCCCTGTATGCTGGAGTCAGACCCCTGTATGCTGGAGTCAGACCCCTGTATGCTGGAGACAGACCCCTGTATGCTGGAGTCAGACCCCTGTATGCTGGAGTCAGACCCCTGCATGCTGGAGACAGACCCCTGTATGCTGGAGACAGACCCCTGTATGCTGGAGACAGACCCCTGCATGCTGGAGACAGACCTCTGTATGCTGGAGACAGACCCCTGTATGCTGGAGTCAGACCCCTGTATGCTGGAGTCAGACCCCTGTATGCTGGAGTCAGACCCCTGTATGCTGGAGTCAGACCCCTGTATGCTGGAGTCAGACCCCTGTATGCTGGAGTCAGACCCCTGTATGCTGGAGTCAGACCCTGTGGCCACATACGCAAGGCTGTGGCTCACACCGCCTCCCAGTTTCTGTTTTCTCCTCTATCTAGTGAAAGTTCACTGGGTCCACTTCTTCCCTGGAGCCTAGGGAGATTTCAGAAGTAATAACCAGGCACATGAAACCATGGAGCACCAAGACCTCAGGAGATGATCCCTGACCTGATGTCTGCGGTCTTCCCAGGCCTGGTCTAGTTCACACCTGGACACACGTCACCCTGGCCAGGAGGGGGTCCCTGACCTAGTAACACTATGTAGTATCCCCTCCCCACCTCCTCCTGCCCTGCCACCCACATGCCTTCTGGTTCCGGGATGACTCCCTTCTCCCAGACCTTCAGGAACCTGAGGCTCTTCCAAAGGGAACAGTTCAATTCTAATGGAGCCTTGAGTAATTTACATGGCTGGCCTGTCATCCCAAAGGTCCCTAGAGAGTTGGTTGGTGACTCAGAAATAAAAAGCAAATGGAAAGGGGACTTAGTGACCAAGCATCGCTGCCCTGCCCCCCCCCCCCGCCATCTTCCTGAGGACTCTGTACAGGGTGGGGAGTTTCCCAGCACCGCAAAGGAAGACTCATCTCATGAAAACGGAGTGAGCAGGTAACCATGCGGGTGGAAACCATATCAACCTCTGAACACTGTCTCACACACGGCAGTTCGTCCATGCTCAGGTCCTACCACACATAGCTGGCCACCCCACAGGGCTTTGATTACATGTCCAGTACGCTTTGGGGCATTTTGATGCTCTGGCCAACTGTCATTTGGACATCCGAGGTGATAACGGCCCCACGATCGTTCTCAAACCATCTTCTTGATTGACCACTGGACTGGACTGCTCCCCTGAATCTCCAAAGACCTTAGGAGTCTCTTGCTCTTGAGGCAGGGGCATGGCCTGAGGCCAGTGTTCATCCGTCTGGGTACAATCCTGAGAAGACTCAACCACAGTGTGAAGGCTTCTCTCTCCAGGGCCACCTCCCTCGGCTGGGCTACTCGGGGATGAGAAGGGGACAGCTCGGCTTCCCACTAGAAGCTGGCATGGTCTTTCTGCCTCTGACCCTCTAAGGACACCAAAGGCCCTGACTCAGCAGGAAATGAAGGCACAGAGACAGGCCATCACTCATCCACTGGGTCCAGTAGCTCACTTCCTGAAAGGATTGGTGTAAGGTAGCAGATGGAAGGGTGGGGAAAAATGTAAGCCAGGATCCTAGGACACCTGGGTGCAAGTCCCAGTTTTCTAGATGGGCCTGCCCTTCTGTTTCCCTGAGAGAACCCCTGATGACCAGAAGGAAGCAGGAGGTGATAATGGGGAGCCCCTACCCTCTTGCCTGGCTCAGCATGTCTCACAGTCCCAGCCTTAGGAACACTGGCAAGGAACAAAGGAGCTTGGATGCATAACCCGATCCAGAAACGCAGCCCAAGTTCTAGCCGCAGGATGTTCCTAAGAGCTACTCTCCGTGAGCCCTGGGCAATCCAGACAGCTCTAGAACAAGAACCCATCTTCCACGCAATGCTCACACGTCCATCTCAGTGGCCCCAGGTTCTCATCTCAGCGCTCACTGCGGCCCCGCCAACTCATGGGTGAGAAAGCGGAGTCCTGGCGACACACCTGTGCTGGTGGGTAAGTAAGCTGTTCAAACCCGAGCTCTCTCAAGAGAGGGAGAGGAGAGAGTACTGGGCCCCAGTCAGGCAAGACGGGGGCACTAAAAGCTGTTGATCTTACACAGTTGCCTAGCACTTCCCCTGAGCACTTTCATTACAGCCCTTCTCAGTGAAAGCCTGCCCACAGCCTGAATGCCACATGGATTCCCGTAGCCTGGACATCGCAAAGAGTTCCCGGAACTTTTCAATCATTATCTCCATGACTCTTCAACCAGCCGCCTCCCAGAAAGGGCCATAGTAGAAAGTCTGTGGGTTTTGTGTGTTGGTAGGAAGGTACAGGCTTGTGAGGATGTCCAGCGTGCCTTTAGACATCAGCATCTCTGGGTGGCAACCCTGTTAAATGTTCATATTAGTCAACTGAGGAGGAAGGCCAGAGTATAACTGGAAGAGGGCTGGGAGGTCTAGTCTAAGACTGAAGAGACCCTAGACTGGCCACAGAGAAAGGGGACATCCTACATAGAGGGAATGGCCATAGTTCCTCGCTCAAGGAAAGAAACAGATGGCTTCCATGTAGGCCAGAGTATCCTAGAATAACACTTCCTTTCTGTAATAAATACTTGACTCATTTTCAAAGCCCTCCCACCCATCTGGAGAAGGTGTGTTCATGCCTAGATGTCAGGTAGGGTAATTCAGGGCAGAGTGCCAGCAAATAGTTCTTGGTCCAGAACAGGCCCTCAGTTCTATGGGCCTGATTCTCCTTCCGTGGGAGTGAGATGGCCTGAGGGTAGGATGGGGACTTTTTGGGGCCTGACCTTTCATGGCTAGGCTGAGAGAAACATACCACCAGTTTCCTGAACTGTGAACAATGGCCTTCCTCCTGGGGAAGGGCCCCAGTGGAGGTGGTAGGTGGATGGGTCCTCTTCTCTGGCACTATATGGCCACCCCAGAAGCAGCCAGCTCCAATATACTTTTCTAGAGAGTCCCTTCTTTCCCACAGATCACCCCCAGAGAATCCCAGTGACCACCTAGCAGCCCAAGGCATGTGCCACTCTCTGGAGCCCAGCTTCAGGGACTCGACTCAGAGGGTATCTCTGGAAAGCAGCCAGGTACATAGCAACACCTTTCACCTGGCATATGGGCTGGTCAGAACCTCTTGTCCTGTTGGGCTCTCAGAGAGACAGCAGGTCCCCTTGTCTACGGTTCATAGCTGTGTTCACGCTCACAGCTACTGCTACAGCCAACCAGATAGGAGAGACACCTGACTTTGGCTCCGGTGGCTCTATAGGACAGTGTAGCCCTGTGGGGACGTGCAGGCGAGCGAGGTAACCAAGTGATTTTTATCTCTCTTCTTCAGGCTGTTTCCTTACCAAGTAACTAGCAAACATTCCTGGAAGGAGGAGACCATGTTGGGTCTGCTCATATCAGGCCCCACCTGCCAGAGAACATTCACACCCTCACCTCCCAGGGCTGGGGCAGTGGGGGAGGAGGAGAGGCAAGAATAATAAGAAGAAGGCCTTCGGTCTGCCCTGAGCTGTCCAGGGGAGAGGTGCAGAGCAGCCCACAGTACCCCCTGTGCCTCTGAGCACAGGGACAAACAACCACTGATTCTGGTTCTAAAACGCCACTGCTTGCGCCCTGACTCAGTTGCCTTCCAAGAAAAGACATTTGCTCCAGGGAGAAGGAGGTCGGGATAACTTGAGAAGTTCAGCTGGGATGGCCACAGATTCAGTGGAGTCCGCTTTGTCTGGGGACCCCGATCAGAGAGCACAAGAACAGGAAGGGAAGGAAGCGAAGGAAAGGCATCCCCCCCAAAGCCTCCATCACCCTTCTGGAACAGGCTCCAGAGCCTCTGGAAGAAAAAGTCCATCTCCTTGTTCCCCTCAGCCCCATCTCACTCCCTAGGAACTTTCCACGGGCCCCCATCAAGGGTGGCACAATGGGAAACACTGGGGGCTTCCTCTGCCATTAAAAGCCACCTCTTACTGTTTTCCTGAACCCACAGGTACGCATCACCCCTTCTACAGTCTAGTGAGCAGTTTTTAGCAGTTTCTTCCTGTCCAATTCCAACCCCTGCGGGTGTCCACACCTCTGTCTCCCCAAGTCTGCTGAAACTGTAACTCCCTGCATCCTTAGGGATGAGGAGAGAGGGACACCGGGTGGGATCCAGCTCAGAGGGGATCGGGGTCTAGAGAGCAAGACTGGCCGCCATTCCTCCAGCGGGGGTAGATTATACCTGGAAGACCAGGTCTGAGGACCTGCCAGTGACTTCGGTCAGGTCAAAGCACCCCTGGACCTCAGTTTCCCCAGGATCTTCATCCAAACCCAAAGTTTTCTTCTTTCAAGTTGAGATTGGAGGCAGATCCTGTCTTTGAAAACATGTACAGTAAGGTGACATCCTTCGCCCCCAGGACCCTGGCCACCTTGAAACTCAGGCTGCCCAGCCTAGAAACAGACCCCCCACGCAGCCCATCAGTGATGCGGTGGTTACGGAAACCCTGGAGTAGACCGCTTCCTTCCAGCCCAGCCCAGTGCGTGGGCAGCAGAGCCCTGGGGAGTCCCTGGATGGATGGGGTGGGGTGTCCTGAGAGAAACTCCCACCTACTCCGACAAGAGGCAGGGACACCCCCCCCCCAAGCAAGTCTCCCGCCCACCTCCATCCCGGCATCCCATGAAGACAGGTCTCCTAAGTCCAGGCCCTTCCTAGTGGGCAGCTTAGCCCAACCCCGCCTGAGATACATGCCGAGGAAGAGCCAATGTGCTCCACATGTGGCGCAGTCTCCCCTACTCCCATCCCTCCAGTCCAGTCCCAGGTCGCCGCCGAAAGCTCTCAGCAAGCTATCCCTCCCCGCCCCCTCCCTGGCCCGAGGACCCGGATTCTCATCCCTTCTCCCAGAAGCGACGGTCCCCAAGCTCACGGTATCTGAGCCCTCAACAGCCACCGCCAGCCCCAGGCGAGGAGCTCGGGCTGCTAGGATCAGTGACAGTCAACACTCTACCTGAGAGGAGACTGCCGGCGGGTCCTCCTCCTCCTCCTCCTTTTTCGAGGCCTTGTGAAGCCTGCTCCACCTGGCAAGGGACTGTCAGCAAATTCCCCTCTGCATCACCGCGCGCGAGCGGCATCCCGGCTCCTCCCAGTAGGAGTCAACCTCGGCCCCGCCCCACGCTTCTCTGACCTGTCGGGGAACCCGGGCTAGATGATCGTAAGCAGAGACCAAGGCTCTGCCCTGGAAATCCTGTAGCTATCAGAAACGATGGCCATCGCCAATGCACAAGGCTGCCGCTCGCTCCCTGGCTGCGGTTTGCAGCAACTGAGGCTCTGGGCCTCGGCAGCTGCCTTGCCCACCCACCCTCTCCCACGCCTCAAACTCTCCTCCGAGGCCTCCTAGCCATAGCCCAGCTATCCAGAAGCAAGGAAAGACATTCAACCTCGCTATAAGGTAGCGCTCTGCCACACCCTAGGGCCACATCCGGGCAAGGCTCAGTTCCGACTCCTTCAGCAGAAGAAAGATCTATAAATTGATCACAACCCCATCCAGGAGTGGGATGAGTCCGGTCCATTTTGTCAGGACCACACTCCTCAAGTGGGTCTCAAGTTTCACCCAAGACCTGCCTGCCCTGCTGGAGAGACCGGTTTTGAATTGGGGGCTGATGCCATGTGTTTGCCCCTGTTGCCCCAAGTAAGGGCAAAGTAAGGACTGTAGGCAACTCTCTCTCTCTCTCCTCTCTCTCTCTCTCTCTCTCTCTCTCTCTCTCTCTCTCTCTCTCTCTCTCTCTCTCTCTCTCTGTTTCTGGGTCACGGCCTGGGTTCACTTATTTAATAGACATTTTATTACGGAGGTTCTCAGTACAGTAGCTAATGAGACAGGAGCCACTCCTGGGTGATGTTTTATAATAGTGAGATGTTGTCAGAGCTGTTAGCAATATAAAAAGGCCGAGGAGGGAGCAGTGTGAGACAGGGTCAGGGAACACTGGAGGAGGGGGCAGAAGTTAGTAACTCTGTCTTCCTGGGTTTTTATAGCCAGCAACACTAGCGCCCTTGCCAACCTGTGCTAGGTCTCCCCACGCCATGCACCTGTCCCCCCACGCCATGCACCTGCCCCCCCCATCACCCTCCACCCTCTGGCTGTTCCGACCTAGCTACCCCATGAGAATTCAAGGTGGAATCACTAGACAGGCTCTCCCAAGGTGTGTCTCTGTGAGCTTTCACTTGCTCACTCATTCGTTTATTTATTCCATGGCACAGGAAGGCTTTTGACCATCCGTGATTCTATCACTACTGAGTTCTGAGTTCTAACCCTGACGCTGCCGTCATCCTGCTCTGCTGTCCTCAGTGACCCACTCCATCTTTGTTTTTCCCTCTGCTCTCCCACTCACGGGGCTGCTCAGTGAGGGCTAGAGGGTATGGAGACAAACCAGTTAAGTGTAAGAGTCTTGTATGAGGATTCTTGGGCTGTGTGCGGTGGCTCACACCTTTGATCCCAGCACTCGGGAGGCAGAGGCAGGTGGATCTCTGTGTGAGGCCAGCCTGGTCTACAGAGTAAGTTCCAGGGCAGCAAGGGCTATATAGAGAGACACTGTCACAAAAACAAACAAAAATCCTCAGTGTCTGTATGCAGGTCCCAGCTCAGCAGGGGGCTTGATCTTTCTGAGATGCATTGTTTGTTGTGGACTATTATTTCAAGATGTGGTACATTCGCTTATGCTGTGGAACATTTGTTTAATGATGCAAAGATGTGTTGCAATCTTTTCTGTTGTCTTTGTTTAACTCTTGAAGCTGTGTTACTGTGCCTGTCTAAAACACCTGATGGTCTAATAAAGAGCTGAATTTCCAATAGCTCGGCAGGAGAAAGGGTAGGTGGGGCTTCCAGGCAGAGAGAATAAATAGGAGAAAGGGGAGGAGTGAGAAAAGGAGGAGAAAGGACACCAGGGGCCAGCCACCGAGCCACACGACCAGCCACAGAGTAAGTAGGAAAAAAGGAATAGAGAATAGAGAAAGGTAAAAGCCCAGAGGCAAAAGGTAGACGGGATAATTTTAAGTTAAGAAAAGCTGTCTAGGGGGCTGAAGAGATGGCTCAGGGGTTAAGAGCACTGACTGCTCTTCCAGAGGTCCTGAGTTCAATTCCCAGCAACCACATGGTGGCTCACAACCATCTGTAATGAGATCTGGTGCCCTCTTCTGGCCTGCAGGCATACATGCTGTATACATAATAAATAAATAAATCTTTGAAAAGAGAAAAGAAAAGAAAAGCTGTCTAAGGCAGTGGTGGCGCACGCCTTTAATCCCAGCACTTGGGAGGCAGAGCTAGGCAGATCTCTATGAGTTCGAGGCCAGCCTGGTCTACAGAGTGAGATCCAGGACAGACATCAAAAACTACACAGAGAAACCCTGTCTCAAAAAAAACAAATAAAATAAAGAAAAGCCATCTAAAAATAAGCCAAGCTAAGTCTGGGCATTCACAAGTAAGAATAAGACTCCGTGCATTTATTTGGGAGGTGGGTGGTAGGTTCCCAAAAGAGAAAGAGAAAAAAAATATATAATTATTTGCACATGTAAAATGGAGTAAATAATCGTAACCTCAAGGGCTGGTCATGAGAATTAACTGTGCGCCCTGAGAATGGTATCTGTTACTGTTGTTAAGTTGGGAAACAGCAGAAAGCTGACAAGAACAGTCTCTCTCTTCTCTGCTCCCTCATCCTAGAACCTGCTCCTGCAGGGCCACACCCAAACCCCAAAGCCCGTGATGGAGATACCTGCTAAATGTGAGGTGCACGGCATAGGGGATTATACAGTGGTGCAGAAAAAACTAAAGGAGACCCACATAAATGCCAGGCAGACATAGTGGCGGGAGAGGTGACTGGTGTATCCCAGCCACACACGTACCAGCCGTTCAGGTGGGGGCCAGGCTTGTAGAAGGTTCTCAGTGAAACTGGGCGGAAATGACTAAGGGGGACTGGGCATTTGTGTTCAGTGCCTGTGTACCGAAGACACACATGCTCTCACTCATGGGGATCAGGGTGTGCTTTTGACCTGTCGTCTCTGAACCACACTACTCATGCTATTGTCTTCAAGTCCTGTTGTTTAAATCCAGTGTTTTGCAGGGAGCGTAATCAAGAACGATAGTAAGAAGCAAAAGGGTTCCGGGTAGCACAAACGGAGCTGCCTGGCCAAGGCACCAGCTCCTCCTGCACAAAAGCTCCTCCTGTCTTCTAACGGAGCCCGCCATGATTTCTTCCCTGTCATTGGTTGTAATGTTCTTGAATACTTGCTCTGCAACTGGTGGCACTGTGTGGGGACACTGTGGAACCTCTGGAACAGTGCCTTGTTAACGGAAGTGGTTTGGGTGGGGGGAGAGGTTAGAGGGGGGTAGGCCTGGAAAGTGGTTGCTGTTTCTGCTTTGACCTGAGGTCTCTCCTCCCGGATCCACCAAGTCGTGAACAAACCGTGTGGCAAGCTCCCACCTCATCCCCCCACACCCGGACACAGATATGCCTTCCCTGCCATGATAGACTGGCCGTCCTCAGCAACCATGAGCAAAATGAATCTTTCCTAAGTTGTTTGTGTCCGGTATTCTGTCACAGCCATGAGAGAAGTAAGCAAACATGTGGTCATGTTCTTTCAGCAGGTGCAGGAGGAGTGGCTGCTGGAAACTGGAGCGAATCCTTCCTTTCCCTCTCCCCTGTGAAAGGAGATCTCGGAAGTTTGCAACCTGTCCTCACAGCAACTGTGCCAGAGACTCCACATCCCAGTGTTCCCACCACACACACACCACACACACACACACACACACACACACACACCACCTACACCACCATCACCACCACACATACACATACACACATATCACCACCACTACAACCACCACACATACACACACCACATACACCACACACACACACACACACACACACACACACACCACCTACACCACTACCACTACCACACACATACCACCATCACCACCACACACACACATACACACATATCACCACCACTACGACCACCACACACATACACACCACATACACCACACACACCACACACACCACCACACACACACACACACACACACACCACCTCCACCACCACCACACACACACACACACATACACACACACACACACACACACACACACACACGCACACACACACGACACACACACACAGAGTCAGCTGCAGCTACAGACAGCCTTTGGCTAGGGGAATGAAGGCGAAAATGCTCCTTTAACATGGAGCAGCCTGCTCTCACTTCCCTCTTCTTCCTTTTGAAGACTGAAACAGAGAGGGGTGACGCTGGGGAAAAAACACATCGTTGGCTCTCCAGGAGCTGATCGGGTAGTCTAATGAGCAGGGCTGGCCTTCACACCTGAGGTGGATAAGCAGGTGGATAGAGGAAAGAGAACAGCTGAATGAAAAGCAAGAATGGGGTCAGCAGGATGGCTCAGTGGGTAAAGACGACTGCTATGTGAGCCTGGAGACCTGCGTTCCACCCCCAGAACCCACGCACAACTTCACAGAGTCATCCGCTGGCCTCTACATGTGCAGAGCGCATGCCTCTCAGTAATAAATAGGTTTTGCAAAAGAGGGAGAAAGAGAGAGAGAGAGAGAGAGAGAGAGAGAGAGAGAGAGAGAGAACTTCAGACTCCAGAAAAACTCAGTCCCCCAAAGCCACAACTTTGAGGGTCACAGAACAGGTTTTGATTCCTCGCCATTTACAATAACCTTCACAAGATGAGAAGTCTTTTTTGTTTGTTTTTGCTTTTTGAGACAGGGTTTCTCTGCATAGCCCTGGCTGTCCTGGAACTCGCTCTGGAGACCAGGCTGGCCTTGAACTCACAAAGATTCGCCTGCCTCCGCCTCCCACCACCCGGCAAGAAGTCTTTTTATGTCTAGTGTCTAGAACAGCGCCTTGCTTACTAACTCCTTTCCCTGGCTGGGGCGGGGGAGGGGTGAAGCCCACATTCTCTTTTAAGATCTCCCAGTCGATTTGGAACACTGAGCAGTGAAACTGAAGCTCCCAGGCCAGCTGAAGAAGGACTTCAGGAGCTAGGCTGCACAACCAGAGTGTCCAGCGACCCTTGTTAGCCCTGGCAAATGACATCTAGATATCTAGAAACCATTGCATCCGCAACATGCACCTGGGCTCTCAACGACCTACCTAACCAAAGACCTTCCTTGTAGGAGTGCCTGTAATTGCCAGAATTAGGCACAACCATACAGGACCAAAGTGAATGCTCGGTGACACTCGAAATGAGAAGTGTGAGAGACCCACAGAAGCAGGCTATGCACACTAACTGCATGTTT